AACGATGAGTATGAAACCAAACTTTCTTTGTCAAACATACTTAGGCCCCGTTCGGGAGGGATTAAAAGCCAATTAAAATTGAAAATATGGCCGTTATTGGGTCCCACTCGTCTAATAAAAGTCAACAATAACAGCTATATTTTCAATTTTAATCTGATTTTAATCCCTCCCAAACAAGCTCTAAATATATGGAATTTGGTGAGAATTAAGTTGCCCACCATGAAAAAAGTGATCGTTTAGCCATTGTTTGATTTTTATTATTTTCAAAATATATTTTTCTTTTTCTTCTTTTTAATCATACATTCTTCAATAAAGTAATATTACACTAAAACTCTAAACTTTTTCTTATTTTTTAACCACACATTACTTATCAATCTACTATTTCAAAATACATTATTTGCCAAAAAATCACTATTACAAGAATAATAACATTCTCAACACTTCAAATCATAAGACAGACAGTGATGTGTTGTCCATCAATCTCTATTCTCCTTTCTCCCTTTTTGTTAGGGCAAAAGAGTAGCTCTTGCTTTGCACTTGTTCCCATCATTCACCAAAATTTTAAATCAATCAAAGAACACGTAGGGCGCATTGTTTGTCATTATATGGTCAAAAATCAATGAACACTTGTCAGTGTTGTTTTATAAAAAAATTGTCAATTGTCAATAAAAAAAAAAAAAAGTTAGGTACCGCTATTTACATTCACAAAACTTACATATCTATTCCTATTGAAATACTAGTGAAATGTAGTGGAGCCCATTTTTGTTTCTTTCGTGCTCCATAGCATCCCCTCAAAACCCTTAAATCATATTTCATCCTGTCGACTGATAAATAAACAAGAATTTGTAGGTAAAATTATGGTTTAACTATAAGAAGAAATATTTAATTTTTAATTCAAAACTCCGGAACAATTTATGCTTCGATTTACAGACGAACTTGAACCGAGGTTCAAAAAGGTGTCAAGGGAAAAATTTTGAGAAAAAAGTAGAAAAGCCCAACAAATTTTTCAAAAGAATTTATTAAAAATAAATAGTAGTGGATGAATTTAGAGTGATGTATTTTTACTGAATTTTACATATGTCTATTTAAGTAAATTTGCATAAAATTAGAAATATAATAAATCTTTTTGTAAGTGAATATATTTAAAAATTTTGTAGATGTAAATATCGATTCCCAAAATATTTTCATTACTTTTAACAATATAATTTAATTTCGTAATTAGGTAGATAGAATGAACACATATATTTTTAAAATCCATACGTATGTGAAGCATATACATAAAATTGTTTTGACTCAAATTAAACAATTGCTTTCACTTGGTAGCAAATTAAATTGAAAAATAAAAAAGCAATAACTTTAATAATTGAATTTAATTCAACAAACTTCCTCAATTGCGTGATGCACTCGAGTTGATTTGATCTCGTTTTCTTACTACTTATTTAATTACTGCATTTTCTTAATTTGACGTGGTCATTAATCTATATTGTATTGTACGCTCATAATTTTTTTAAAGAAGTTTGACTATGTTGTCTTAAATTAATCAATATTCATACAAGGTAATGCAAAATAATCCAAATTAATGTGTAATTCAATACGTAAAATGTTTGTTGGAAGAAGTTTTCATCAAGAATGAACAGGCGCAGCAGCTGATATTCTTGAAAATTAACGTTTTTTTTTTTTTGAATTTTAGTCTACATTCAATGCTTTCGTTCAAAGTCAACTTAATACTGAATACCCTTCTAGATTGACACTTGTTCTTCTCGTTGCACTTCTTTGAAAGATCAGATTGCCGCCAATTAGTTCTAATATTCTGTAGTTTTTGGCTTTCACCACAGTCCACAGGCCAATTTTATTTTATTAGCTTGCATGGATGGACTGGTTCCTTTTCTAAAACAAACTCCGCAAAAGTAATGCATTACTGTTTATTTCTTGGATGCATTTTTCGTAGGTAATCATTAAGCCTCCATTCGGGAAAATTCAAAAATCACTTGTAAATGATTAAATTCCATTTTCAATCTATTCATTAATTCTATTCTCTTTAACCACTCGTTTTTATCTATTTGTAAATCATACCATTTATTAGTTTTTCCTACGTGGAGGCTAAATTGTAATTGAAGCGATTATAAGTTGTGAGCCATATTAAATATAAAATAATGCTATTTGTAGTCACCCTCTGCAACAGTCGTCCTATGTGGCATACACATGTCAAGTGTGTATTTAATGCATTAATGTGGTCAAAAAACTACCACATTAATGTATCAAATAATTACATGTCATGTGTGAGCCATATAGGGAGACTGCTGCATTGAGCGACTATGAATAGCATTACTTTTAAATATATGGATAATGAGTGAATCTTACAAAATATATGGATGAAATGTATTTTTGATCAAAAGTGATTATAAAATAATCACTAACCAAATATGCACGGATTATTATTATTATTATTAATATGGCAATGGAAAGCAGAATATATAGGGAAATTTGAATTTTAGTGATTTAATTGCTTTGTAAGGTTTGAAGTTAGGAGTTTTCATGTTTCTTACAACATTTAAAAATTGATGCTATTTATTAGCCGTCTGTGTGGCATAGGATAACTACCGCATTATTTTATAAAAGAATGTGTTTTGATTCATTAGAGAATAGTGTAACGGTGCCTCGACTTTCAATAAATGCTCATATATAACATTATTCATTTTTTAAAATATAAAGGTCGTGCATGATATGTATAGTTTAAAAACATTGAATAGCATGAAATAAACTTGTTTTATGTGTCCAAATTAGTTGAAACCCCAAAAATTGTTAAGTAAAACTTTCAAGTTTGTGTAAGATAAATACAAAGTTGTTTTTTGATTCATGATTCTAATCCCTGTTTGATTCAACTAAAAATTAGAATTAAAATCTAAGTCAACAATTATATTAACCATATATTTTATGAGATTTACTGTAACGATCCAAATTTTAAAAATCCAAGATCGCTACCAAATATTTTTGTCTTATAATAAAATTTTGGAAAATCCTTTATTTACTTATGAGTGAGCAATAGTTAACATTAGTTACGTCATCACTAGATTT